GATGGTCAAGGGGCACAAAGTTGCAGTTATGCAAAATGAGTAAGATCTGGAGATCCAAAGCACAGCATGGTGATGACAGGTAACTGTACTGTACCGGATACTTGAAATTCGCTAAGTGATCTCATCACATCTGATTTTAGTTTTACAAAGAGCTGCCATGTACAGAATAGACTAGCAGGGGTGGGCAGAGGTGCAGGTAGGCATGTCATTCAGAGCCTGGTGTATTAGTCCAGGTGAGAGACGAAGGGCTTGAACCAGAGTGATTGCTGTAAGGACAGAAAGAAAGCCTTGAGGGTCACCCGTGACCTCTCCTTCCCCTTTACCTGCACCAATGGTCAAAAGTGTTCATTGATATTTCTCTGATAAATGATACAGCATGTTCGTTTATCTGATGCTTCTCCCTCTCTCCCTCCTCAGTATTCCTTCTCTATTTCCTGTCCATCATGCAGACAGGGAGAGTCATCCCAACCCTCACTGCCTAAACTCAATCATGTTGTATCAGCAAAGTGTCCTAAGATGCCGCCATGTTTCTCAGCTGACCCATCTTCTTGAGTCCAACCTCTACTCTGCAGCTAGGGAGAGTGTTCTGCCCAACTCCAAACCTTCCCCATGGCTCCCCTGACCTTAAGTTTGGAGCACAAGCTCCTTAGTGTGGCTCCTGAAACCCTCAAAGATGTGGCCCCTTACTACCTCTCCAGACTCAATGGACTCTATTCCATTCCTTGTGTTCCAGTCCTGCACATCCATCTCATGTCTTTGCTACCTCTTGCTTCCAGGGATTTCCACGTTACTTCCTCCTCCTGATGGCCCTTCCCTCCAGTCTCCACCAAGCTACATGGAGCAGATCCCTGTCTTGTTCACAGTTGGCCCTCAGGTCCGAGCATGCCAAGTGGCACACAGCAGACCACTGACTCAGATTTCCTGAACTGGGCACACCACAGTGCCTGTCCATGCAGACCAGAGGTGGAAGGCCACAGGAAAGGGTCCTGGCCTGTGGTGTCAGTTTCCCTTGTGGTGCTGTTATCTCGCTTGGGAATCACTCCTGAGGCAGGTGTAGAAATGATTCACGTTTGAGCAGAAACATTTGATGCTGTTGAGCACCCAGAGTCCGGGAAGGTCAGTGAATATTAGAGATGTCTGCAAATCTCCCGCAGCTTGCTCAGGTAAGACCGCCTTCGTCCATACAGTTTCTTGTATTTTGAATGAATACAGGAGAGCATGCCCTTCCCGAGTCCCAGGATCCTCTTGAGGGCCACTGGCCTTCTAGACTGGGGAGAACTCTAACAGAAGGGAAATATGGTGCTTATGGTGAATTCAAATGTAGAGTCAGGACAGGTGATGAATCTAGACAAAAGGACAGCCAAGAGCCACAGGTGTGTAGCTTTGGTGAAGAGAAACATAGACGAGGGTATGGAAACACTGAAAAAGTAGAGCTAGATGGAGCCATGGAAATAATCCAGGCCATTTACAGATGAAGAAACTGAGGTGACGCCCAGAGCGACAGTCCCATAAGCAGTTAGTATTGGAGCTGGAGTGAGGACTCCGTCTGCAAATCTAAATCTTTAGCTTATTCTATTCCCCCACAGTGCCTCACATGCAAAACACAGCTCTGGGTATATTAGTATTCTCTCTCTCTGTCTCCCTCCCTCCCTCTCTCTTTCCCTTTCTCTCCCTGTATGAAAGGTAGGTAAAACACAAAGAGGAAATGCATCAGGGGCATTTCAAAAAATTCTGAAACCTTCTATTATTGGCAATTATATCTATTATTTGAAAATTACAGACATCATGACACCTCTCTTACTATACACCTTCCCGATCCATCTTGAAAGGTAGCCGTTATTATAATGCTATGCAGATATGGCAAAGGGCTGACGGGGACAAAATTACGGGGTCACACAGAGCTCACAAGCGGGAGAGCCAGAATTTCCAGCCCATCTTGTCTGGTGCTGTGTAATCAGACACAGAGATTTTACTCATTTTCCAGAACAACAACAAAAAATTAAGGAAAATAAAGAACTTATTGAGTATAGTAATTTACAGTTTATGAACTGCTTTTCCCGCACACCTCTTGATTCACTCCAAATACCGGCATCCCTGTTAGATGGGTATTATCATCCTCATTTTACAAATGAGGAAACTGAGGCATGAGGAGATCAAGTGTCCTACATCCGGGTCCCTCACAACCACATTCAACTCGAGCCTTTCTCGGTCCAGTCGATGTCCTTTTCCATAATACTAGAAATCAAGGAAGGAAATTTAAAGGAGAGAAATACATTTTGAGTTTAAAATATTCCATCAGATGTTTTCAGCAAATGCTATCTGAAGGCCATTCAACACTAGATTACAGTTATTCTAAAGTACCCACTTGAAAAAAAAATGAGCATTTTAAGGCAAAATATGTGTTTCTGCTCTCCTTCACTGTGCTTCAGTGGGCCGACCTTAATAAGGCACAACAACCCAGCAAGCATCCTTCAGACCTGCTGCACAAGCTAAGATGAGGCAAGATGGCCGGGACGGCCTCTGCACGTGGCCGTGGTGCAGGTAAGGCTTCTCCACGTACTCAACCGCTCACCAGCGCAGTCTTACGCCAGGAGCCGGGGCCCAAACCACAGTAGAATAGGCAAGGTTCCCACCCTCAGGAAGCATGAGCTCCGGAGACGGCAGACACATGTGCAAGTGGTGACAATGTGACACAGCACGGGCAGTCACAGAGCAGGCCCCAAGTGCTGTGGGAGCGCAGAGAAGAGAGCAGGAAGGCTTCTCATCGGCAAGGGCACTGGGATCGGGTCACCAAGGGTAGAGGGAAGTGGGAAATGGCCGTTCCAGGCAGAGAGCCCTGGAGGACCAGAAGGAGGGGTATAAAAGAGCAGAGGATGGTCGAAGACAGTCCTGGCTCCTTCCAGAAAATTCTGGTTGCCTCAGCAATGATGATATCGAACTGGAAGCATGCAAATTGGGGAAACATTTGGTAAACATCTGTCATGATGGAGCAGAGTTGCGTGAAGGTGAATCTTGCCCACGAGGAGCTCTGCCCAACGTATCCATCTAACCGGCACTTAAATGAGCCCCTACTATGTGCAAATCCCTGTTTAAACTATGGGAACGCTTAGTCCAACTGCGAGGTGAGCAGACCCCGGTGTTCCTAAAGTAGCGTACTGCATTGGATGGCAAAGCTCTTGACCTTCAACATTTGTAAACAAGGATGACATGCTGTGTTGCCCCTGAGAAAGCCCTCTTTATATCTCCCTGAGTGTATCTTGGACCAGACTATAGCATTTCAACAGTGAGTCAGTGACCCATATCTCTACCCCCATTTCATTGCTGATGTCTGTTTAACGATTTGCTGATCTGAGGAAGGGAGTTTCTTCAGGGGATGATGATAATTCTTTTTATTTGCGTGGCATGTTAGGTTTCGAAAAGCCTCTCTCCACCCGTCCTCTCCATCACCCCACTCGATGGTCACAAGAGCCTGGAAAGGTACGAGAATTTAGCATCCCCATTCTACAGATGAGCGAGAGGAAATCTCAGCCAGGTGGAGCATCTCAAGGTCACACAGCAAGTGTGCGGTGAAATGAGAGCTCAAAACCATGTCTTCTGACTCCAGATCTTGTCCTCTTTTCTCTACACCTTACCATCTGCCTAGAATACAATAATACCATCCTCATTATGACATGAATCCCAGCTGAAATGCTGGTCAAATCACATCCCCACAGGCAACATAACTACAGAATAAATTAAAAGCCCAATTAGAGAACATGGCCTTTTAACTGGGACTTACCACTGTCCCCCGAGGCTAGGATATAAAGAGAAAGCCCTACAAAAGTCAGTGGCTGCCCATCCTGGAAATTACCCAGAGACCCATTTACCCATATGCAAGAGCCTATAGGTCCACATTATTCACCTAACTTCATCTGCCTTCCCTGTGTTCTTCTGGGGCCCTGGCCCCCACAGAGTTAGGTCTGGAATCATTGCCCAAACCTCTGCCCCTCTCTCTAGCCTGCAGATGCAGTTAAGAGTCCATCCCTCTGTGTGGACAGGTGCCTCTCAGCTCTGACACATCTCTTAATAGCAGGAGCATCAGAACCTGATGAAAAACCACTGCTTCCCTAGTTCAAATAGGGAACTGAAGCAAAATTCTCTGTCTCCAAATGGGATAGTCTGCCAACAGCTAGAGCCCTGGGTGGCCAAGGGAACAAAGAGTGTTATTATACTCGATGTTAGTCTTGTTTTGCTGGCAATAGTGGGGGGGGTGGGGGGTGGAGGTGGGGGATAGAAATGAGGTGAGGAGACAGGGAGGGGGCATTTTGACGCTCATGTATAATTTTCTGTTTAGCCCCCTCCACCCCCAACAGTCAAAGGCAATAACATGATGAACTCCAGGGAAACCCCCTGGGTCCCGAAACGATAACAGTTACTACTTCCCTTGTCCAAATGTCCCCTCCGGTTGCTGGGTTGGAAGCGGACTTTACAGATCAAGAGCTGCTGTGCGCTCTGGTCCTTGTCCATGTCATAGCCAAGCTGCAGTGCCTCCCCCCCCCCCCCGCCACACACACCCCTGTCCCCAGCCAAGCCACAGGGAGAACAGGTCTCTGGGTCAGCCTGGATCACAGAGAATCGCTACCACCGCCCCCTTCACCCCAACACCGGCTTCTCCAGAACCTGCCCCGGGGGTTCACGAGCTCAGAGGACCCGCTTGCACAAGGGTCTGGATGTGTCCCCTCAGCCTCCGTGTGGGACTTCTGCGGGGGCCACCCCCATTCACCCCGCATATCTCCCCCCCACACCCCACATCTGCCCTCCTGCCCTCTCGGACCTGCCCAGATGTGCCTGGAGCTCGGAGGACGGTCCGGCTGGGGGAGACCGAAGGAGATAAAACACATTTCGCGGCGGAATCCCTGTTAAGTAACAGAAAGCCATCCAACTAGCGACCACGCTTCCAGAAACGTCACTGCCACCGAGGAGAGAGTTTGCAGCCGCCGACCCCGAGCGCGCTCCCCTACCTGTCTCCCGCTGCAGGGCTGCCCTCGGCTCCGGGCCGCGCCGGCCGCTCCCTGCGGGCTCTCCGCAGCGGCGGGGGGCGCTCCGCGGGGTCCGGGCCCCGCAAGCTGGGTCTCCGGTGCCCGCGGCGAGGCTGCCTGGAGGAGGAGCGAGAGCCGTTGCCCTCGCCGCTGCCGCCGCCGCCGCCGCGGTGCTGATGCGGTTGCTATGGTTATGGAACTCCGCAGCTGCCCCCTCGCGGCGCAAGCTGGGTCTCCGGTGCCCGCGGCGAGGCTGCCTGGAGGAGGAGCGAGAGCCGTTGCCCTCGCCGCCGCCGCCGCCGCCGCCGCCGCGGTGCTGATGCGGTTGCTATGGTTATGGAACTCCGCAGCTGCCCCCTCGCGGCGCAACAGCTGCCCGGCCGCGGCCTCCGGGCGGCCCCGCGAGCCGGCCCGCGCGGCGAGGCTGGGCACCCGGCCGGGCCGGCCGCCACCACTGCGGAGGACGACGCGCGCGGGGCGGCTGCGCTCGCGCCTGCCCGCTCGGCTCCGCGCGGCGCCCGCGCTCCGCTCCCGCCCGCGTCTCCGCCCCCGCCGGGACGCGGCCGCCCGCTCGCCCCCGACCCCGCGCCCCGCCCCGGCCCCGCGCGCGCCTGCCCGCGCCGGGCTCGCCGCCCGCCGGCCGGCTGGGGGCGCCCGCCGCCGCCCGCCCCCGCCGCCCGCGGGCCGGAGCATGCTCAGTGAGCTGTCGGAGGCGCCCTCCCGCGTGGCGGGGCCCTTCCCGGAACCCCCGGGGGTCGCCCGGTCAACGGGGAGGAGCGGCCCCCGGGAGCCGCCCGGTAGACGCCGGAGGAGGGGCCAGAGCCCTGAGCTCTGCGTCCCAGCACCAAGGTCACCGGGGCCATCGACCCACCGACGACCCCTGGGTGCTGCCCGCCTGCTCCCTGCTGGACGTCGGGGGTTCAGACGTCCGTGAGATGTGGCCCCCGGGGCGAGAGGAGGAGGGGCGCGGCCGAGCCGCCGCCCACGGAGCACCCCTCGCGCCAGGTGCTGCCCACGCGGGGGCCCCAGTTCCGCCCGCAGTGTCAGGAAGGCCCCGTGGCCGGCGCGCGGTCCGGATGAGGAGCGGGCCGCGGACGGGGCACAGGGCGCAGTGCCGCAGGCTGGGCTGCACCGGCTCGCGTCCCAGCAAGGACCACAGTTTGTGACCCAGCCGTCACGGCCGCGGGGACTCGCGGCTCCTCCAGGTGCGGGCTGGAGGGAGGTAATGGGGCAAAATACCTGCAAGAAGGGACAGGAAGCAAGGGAGGGAGGGGTGAAGTCTGGGGACGTTCGTCCAGAAGGAGAGGACCGAGCGCGCGAAGGCCTGGAGGCGCGCCCGCCAGCACTGCTGTGTGTCCACACTAGCGATCCCGGTTCCGGGGCAGAGCAGGCCGGGGGAGGTTCGGGGGGTGCGGGGTGCACGTCAGGGGCCTTGAGAGCCAAGTGAGGGGGTTGGAATTGGGCCCTAATGACAGCAGGCAGCCCTTGAAGGAGTTTAAGCAGGAGAAAGGCTGGGTCACCCACTTGGGAAAGTCACCCTTGGTTGAAGTGTGTGCGGTGAGGGTAAGGCGGGCGTCACCAGGTCACCAGGAGGGTACGGCTGCCCCGGCCAGAGGGTCTTCAGAGGAAGGCGGCCGTCTGTCTGCCATGCTTGTCCTTCCCACAGCACCCACCCGCGCCGTGGACAACATATGTGCTCAGTAAATGGTGAATGGCAAATAAATGAATATTTACTTCTTCATAGAGAAAATGGATTCCTTTCTTTCACAAAATTTTTTTTTGTCTTTAAAATGTGATCAAAATAATGTGCATTTATTTTGCCATAAACATTGCATTGTGATGCAGCCTTATTTCTGAACGTGAGTACAAGTTCCCGGCATTTCCCTCTGCATTTGCTGGTCCGGCAGCGCAGATGTGTCTGTAACCCAAGGTTGGCTTGTATCCTGATGTGTTTCAGTCGCCCCCCATAAAAGGTCTCCGGGATATATTATTATTGCATGAAAGAGCAAAGTGCAGAACAGTGTTTATAATAAGGAAACTCTTGGGAAAGAAGGAGGGAAGACACAAATGTATATTTGAAATTGCTTGCGTTGGCATAAAAATACGTCGGAAGGTTATGTAAGAAACTTGTAGACATTATTAGCTATGGGGCTGCTGTGGGTGGAGAACTGGGCGGACAAAGTCTGGGTGAGAGAAAGACTTTCAATTACGCTTTTATGAAATTTAAGTTTTTGAACCAAAAATAAATTACACACATGCATAATGTGTTACCATCTGTATCTAGAAGCTTAATGAGCCCTGAGAGGACTTCAGATGCAACGTGCAACATGCCCCAAGTGGACGTGGTCCCAGGCCCACTCCTCGCACTTCCCCAGTTCCTCTCCGGGGCAACAGCACGATGACTTATTACCCTTACACCTCCTCTTCGGTCTGCTACGCTCATGGGCTGGAGGTGAGGAGAGAGGAAGGCCCAGAGACAGGACCTGAGGACTCCGGGAGCCCACCGTCACCAGTGCCGGCACTGAGGCACTGCATGGATGTGATCCGTGTCAGGCCCCAGGGTCTTCCCCACAATGATAGTGATGGTGGCCATGGTGGCCAACATGCCACCCATTAATTGTCTAGCTGGAGTGATGCCGTCTGGGCCCAGAGAGTCCCTCACCCAGTGCCCTCCTCACAGATAAGCTTCATGCTGTGCGTCACTCCAAAAGGGTACGTTCTCAGACCCACAGGGAGGCTTGGGACAGCTAGGGAGCCGCTGGAAGGGAAAGCCCCAGGGTGAGCCCAGGAAATTGCCCTCCACTGTCATCCCCCTCTGTCCCTCTCGGGGAATGACCCACCATCCAGAAATGAGCCAGAAAGCCAACGTCAGCCTAGGCTTCCTGGTCCCCTATCTCATTCTCTCTACCCACCTCATCACCTACACATCTAATTAAATACCAACTTCTGTCAATTCCGCCACGTAAATAGCTCTCAGAGTCATCTACAACACGGGCTCTGTAACAGTTGTTTTTTGGTTTTTGGTTGTTTTTTTTTTTTAATCCTCAACAGGCATCTATGAGTGATACCATCTAAAGAAATGGGTAGAATCTTAGTCTTAGGTCCTGAGATGAGCAGCGGCAGATTGGACTTGAGGACATGGATTCTGAGACAGATGCAGCGCCTGATGTAAGCCCAGGCTCCCAGTACAGCTACAAGGTGACACCCCATGTGACAGAGATGAGCGCTGAGACAGCCCAGAAGCAGGGGATCCTTCTGGCTAGGTTTGGTTCTAGGAGAACTGAGGTTGTTCTGCCTGACAGGGGCTCGAGCCCATTGGGGATGAGTAGAGAATCACAGCAGAGGGGACTGGCATCTTCTCACCCTGTCTTAGAAGGCAGGTTTTCAATGGTGACATCCTGTGGTAACAAGAAGCAACTGTCACGAAATGCTCATCAGACTGAGCGAGCTCCACAGGATGGGAGGAAGCTGAAATAACCACCCACTGGGACTGTGTAAGCCCCACTGAGAGGAGAGGGATCCCCAAGAGAGAGAAACTTCGCTTCATGCCAGTCGAGGAACACAGACTGAGGCACCTTGCCTGGCCTTAAAATCTGGCTTTGCTGTTCCCTTGCCACGTGCCCTTTAAGATACAACTGAACCTAATTGTATCCCGAGGTCCCCTTCTGGAAAACAAGGATGATAACACAATACATGTCACAGATTTGTGGTGAAGATTAAATGGATTAAAACTTAGCACTTACGTCTTGTGGAGTAAGGGCTATGTATATCCCTGAGCTATGATTTTTTTTAATGTTGGAATGAGTTGATGAAATAGAAGAGGCGCCTGAGATGCTGGTTATCTGTCACACTTTCTGTCCACCCCCTGTGCCACCACCTTGGCTCAGGACCTCCCAGCTTCTTATCTGAAATACCATAGTTATTTCTTAACTGATCCCCCTAATTCTGATGTTGTCCCTGGTAATCCATCTGCCATACACATACTATTGATCTTTTTTCTTTTTAGAGTAAGAGAGAGAGCAAGCTTGAGCGGGGGAGAGACAGAATCTTAAAAAAAAAAATTCTTTAATTTCAAGAGAGAGGGAGAGAGAGAAAGTGTGAGTAGAGGCGGGGCAGAGAGAGAGGGAGACACAGAATCTGAAGCAGGCTCCAGGCTCCGAGCTCTCAGCCCAGAGTCTGATGCAGGGCTCAAACCCATGAACCGTGAGATCATGACCTGAGCCAAAGTCGGACGCTTAACTGACTGAGCCACCCAGGTGGTCCTAGAGAGAGAGAATCTTAAGCAGCCTCCATGCTCAGCACGGAGCATGGACACAGGGCTTGATCCTACGACCCTGGGATCATGACCTGAGTGGAAATCAAGAGTTGGATGCTCAACTGACTGAGCCACCCAGGTGTCCCCATCCTATTAATCTTTTAAATAGGTAATTCTGTGGGCATCCAACTGGCTCAGTCAGAAGAGCATGTGACTCTTGATCTCAGGGTTGTGAGTTCGAGCCCCACGTTTGGTATACAGATTACTTAAATCAGTGAATAAAATGTAACCCTGATACTATCATTCTGCCTCTTAAGATCCTTCAGGAGCGAGTCCAGACTTTTGGAATAAGCGCTAAGCTTCACGACCTAACATTCCTAGCCAGCTAACATCGGATTTCTGCTCACCATGGACCCTTGCTCTACTTGGTCCAGCAATACTAAACCTCCTGTACTTTCCAGAAAGCCCCAGGCTGCCTAGCACCTCCACAAATTCTTGCTCATGCTTCAGACCTGTGTCTACCTATTCCTTCCCTCATGGAACCTGCCCAGATCTACCTGAACATTCGTTACCTCCTCCACTGAGCCTCTGGTACACACTTGGCTAATGTCCCCAGAGCCTCATAGTATAATTACGTATATAAAAATCTATTTCCCACACTAGACTGAAGACTCTGAAGGAAATTTAAAGAAGAGCCTGAGTCTTTTTAGCTTTCTTTACCCAACCCCTGGCACAGTATCTGGAATATACAGATGGTGCTCACTACATTTTAAAACTTCACTTGAATAGATTTTGATGTGATTTTCCTCTCATGTATTTATCTTGTCCTGCCAACCAAAAAGCAAAAGTTTGCTTGAACCATCTTTGTGCCTATGACAGGTGCTTGGTTACCAAGTTCATTCTGACCCGCTGAGGTCAGTTTGGTCGGCACAGGGAGGGGCAGGGGCATCGAGGGAGGGGAAGACCAACTCTGTTACACCTTGGGATAAGCCTTAGAGGGCGACACCTTAGCAGCACACCAGCCCACACCTTCACATTCTTCTCTCGTTGCTTTATTTCCAGCTCGTGCAACAGTGAGAGCAGCAGACCCACACCTCAGCTCTTGTAGCTCTTACACACTTCATGGAGTAGCTCATTTCCTCTTTACATCAGCGCGACGAGAGCCCTCTTAGGAGGAGACGGAGGCGGGGCGGCAGACCTTGACTAAAAGACACACTTATAAGGGGCCGAACCTGGATGTGAACAGTCAGTCATACGAAATACTGCTATTTAGGAAGACTGCTTCTGTTATCTGTGTGGCTTGTGTTTCCACATTATGTAGGGATCTCACATCTCACGATCATCATCTAATACAATGTTTCTCAACCTCGGTTTTATTGACATTTCGGACCAGAGGATTCGTAATGAGGGCTTCCCTGTGCATTGTAGAATGTTCCACAGCATCCCTGACTCCTACCCACTAAGTGCCAGATGGGCAGGCAGCGGGTTAAATAACAGGGACACTTACAAGGCCTGTCTTGGCCAAAGGACCGGGAGATCTCTGTCCCCAGCCACCAGGATCTTCCGAGTTTACAGAGAAGCTCTAAGAGGGTCATTCACTCCGTCATCCAAGGTTGTCAAGGCCTTGAAAACGGCTCCACTGTCGGCACAGGGTGGAAGGTACACTCCCAGCATAGGGGAGGAGGACAGGCCTCCGACTGCCTGGGGTCAGCTCCCGGGTCAACGTGTAGTCACCGCCCCCCCACGACCCCCGCCGGCCCAGTCTGAGGACGTATAAGGAACATCTGTATAATGAATGGCTGATAGAGTTCTGGGTGCAGGATTTATGTTTACTTATCACACTTGATGATGCTCATTACTTTACTGCTGAGCAAAACTACAACCACTACCAAGAAGTTAGTTGGTAACAAATAAATCATTTTTGGGTATTTTTTTTTTTTGAACATTGGCAATTTTGAAAAAAAAAAAAGGGGGGCTATTGAGTGGAGAGTGAGCATAATGACACCCTTACTAAGCTGTACAGTAATGATACCACTCTTCAACACAATGAAGGATATACCTACATATGTAAAATTAATCTCCATCATTTTAAGTTGGTGAGCCATTAAATTATATGACTACAGTAGTACTTTGGGGACAAATTCTCCCTTTGATAAAGGACACAGCCCTGGGAGATGGCCAGGGTGTTCTCGCTTGTCTTACTCAAAGAGTCTGGGACTTCAATATCGCTCATGTCCGCAAAAACTCCAGGCCCCGTCCCAACAGACCTTCACTTGGTGAATTATAAAAGGGAAGAATTTATCTTGAGCACATTCGATCCCCTTTTCGCCGAGACTCATTTCCTCCTCAGTGTAACAGGACGTGAACGCTGCTCCTGTGGGATCTTCTAAGATATCAAGTGGCTCATGTGCACAGATGCCCAGCTCAGACCTGGCCCTTAATGGGCTCCTAGTACACCGTAGGCCCATTCCTGCAATACTCCTACCATCTTGTATTGGCTCCTTAGACACAATGACTGGTGGCTCCCCATCCTTCTCGGATTCCTGTTAGGGGATATTTATAAAAGGCTCAGGGACCAGGTGTAACCTCCTTAAGAGTAATATAGTCAGGGATCCACAAACCTTTCCTCTAGTAATGAATCTGCAAGTAAGAAGCTCTGTAAACCTTAGGAAAACCACTCTGAATCTCTGAGCCTCAGTTTCCTCATCTCTGTAATGGACAAGATTTCCAAGAAAGCCACAAAGACCCCCTCTGACTTGGGCAGTTCATGGGTCACCAGACCTGCATCCCATCCCCTCCATGCCTTTGCTGCCTTGATGAAAAAGGACAAGTTCAACATGCAACTCAGCTCAATATATTACTCTTATGTGATCCCAGTGTTTTCTCCCTGCATTGAGTGCAGTTCCTATTTGTTTTACGGGTTTTTTTCATACTAAACATAAAATATATACATATATATTACACATGCACATGAAGTGGAAACATACATGTCCATTAAAAAATAATAATAATAATTGTTGAAAGTGGGTGTAGCCAATCTAGTTAAGGAAAAGAACACGGCTCATACGGTCCTTTCCTGACCCTAATCCCAATCCCGTGTGCTTGCTCTCCCCACCAGATGACGTGATTCTGAATTCTATGCAGTAAGTCTCACGCTTTCTCTACATGTTACTATCTACATAGCTTTTAAAGGGCATGGTGTAGTTATTTTAGTTAAAGGAATGAAATTATACGTATTCTGAGACCTGTTTTTCCTCCTTCACAGGTTTCTGAGAATCAGACATATTGGCCCCGGCAGCTGAATCCATACGTCCTCGTTGCTGCATAAAGTTTCTTTTAAGAACATCGCAGGTTTCCACTAAAGGAAGACATTCTACTGCTCAGGGACATTTGAGTCATTTCTTCTGTGTATACGTGTGTGTGCACTATTTCCAATAAGGATGTTATGAATATTCAGATAAACAGGAATATTCACGAACATTCAGGTGCATCTCCTGGTATCCCCCTGCCAGTTTTTCTCTATTGTTAGGACAATAGCTGAGTTATAGAGTCCAATCACCTGAGTCGTACCCTGTTATTTTCCAAAGTGAGCACATCATTTTATGCTTGTTTCAGCAGGGATGGGAGCTCTCACGGCGGTGGGTCTCCTCAACACCTGGTAAGGTCAGGCCGCCGTTTTGCCAATCTGACAGATCTGGAAATGCCATCTCATTTAGAACTGGCTTTAATTTGCACCTTTCTGATGACTGGTGAGGTTCAGATCTTTATAGATGCTTACTGACCACTTATCTAAAATACTTGTTATTTGGGGGTGCCCGCATGGGTCAGTCAGTTAAGCCTCCAACTCTTGATTTCGGCTCAGGTCATGATCTCATGGTTCGGGAGATGAGCCCCACATTGGGGTCTGCATTGACAGCGTGGATCCTGCTTGGGGATTCTCTCTCCTTCTCTCCCTGCCCCTCCACAGTTCTCTCTCTCTCTCTCTCTCTTGCTCTCTCAAAAATAAATATTAAAAATTTTTAATTAAAAAATTAATTAAATGCTTGTAATTTTGCTGATTATTATTATTGGATCATTTATCTTTTTCTTATGGGTTTGTAGGAATTCTTATGACTATAGCAGTTCTCACGGCTTGTGCCTCTTATCTATCCACATCTCCATGGTGTCATTCATGCCAAATTTACCCTTTTTTCTTTATTTTTGCTCTTTTTTGACACTCTCTGGGCACACTCTTCTCTCTTGAGGCCATTAAGACCCTCTGCTATACTATTATTTCTTAAATTGTATGCCTTTGGTTTTTACCTTTAAACTTCCCATCCACTTACCTAGCACTGCTCCTCATCCAGCCCCTGACGGCCCCGGCCCCCCTCCCCCCGGAAATCTAACACACCAACTCTGTGGTAGTGAACTTGGCATCTGCAGGGGGGATTGGCTCTGAGCAGTCCATGTTGCTCCACTGATATCGTTTTCTTTTCC